GGCCAAGAAGGTGTGGGAGTGGGAGCGATACATTTGGGATGTGTTGATTTCAGATCAGCTGATCAAAGTCACTTTTTTCAACTAACATTTCAACTTCTCCTGAATTTGCATGTTGATTCCTTTCTTGCAGTCTCCAACAGCTTCTGCATTTCCAGCACAGATGTGGAGTAAAACACTTGCTACGTCCAAACGAGCCAATACAAATGGAATCAAATGGACATGGCACCGAAACCACTTTCTACTCCTAGTCGCGACAGTCCCTCGGACGAAACCAGGACCCCATTTTGGGAAAAAAATGGAAACCATGACTTGGTGAAGAGTGAGGATAGCTCTAAAGATACAGTCTCCCAAAATCCACTGATTGATCATCATGTCCCCTGTGAAAATTGCCTGCCAAAACTCGACGATATTCATGGATCTCCCATGGATGGAATAAAAAAAGGATATGAATGGCTTATATATCAACAATATAATATAATTTAATCAACTAACTATAGTATGAATAATTCATAGACGTGTTAGATATCCCATTAAATAGGATAGTCATTGATATCCATGGCCATTGATATCCTATCATTCGCCATGAATATTAATATTCATATCTATGGATGGGGTATCCATACTAATGGCTATAGAAATGGGATATCCATACTATCATATCCATTCCTAGTAATATTCATAGACATGTTCTGGTTGGTGGTTTCGAACATGTTTTATGTTCCCCAATATTTGGGATAATAATATAATCATCCCAACTGACTTTCATATTTTGCAGAGGAGTAGGTATACCATGGTATACCACTAACCAGTGTTAGATATCCCATAGACATTATAGTATCCCATGAAATATCTATCGATTAGTATTCATAGACACTATCATATCCATTCATGTCCATTCATATTCATAGACATGTTACCCTCTGGTAAATTAACATAGACCCTGAATATCCCCAATTTGTAATGGAAACTAATCTTCCAACCCCAATCTGGCAGGGTCTATGTTAATTTACCAGAGGGTAGATATCCCATTAATGGATATGCATGGACCAAAAAATCGACCCAGATTTCTTCCGGATGAGGCCATGGACGCCATCGCAGACATGAGCTCAGAGGAGAGCCAGAGATTGTTCGAAATCCGGGGCCAGGAAAATCAGGATTTTAACTGCAGGGCATGTTATATTTAGTAATTGGAAATATCATATATATATATACATGATTATATATATATGTATATTACATATGGTTGGTAAATATTATAATAGGACATGTCAGGATATATAACTGGAAATCTTATATTTAGTAATTGTCCATTGAAATTGACAATGCAGGAAATAGCAGGAACATTATCAAATATAACTGCCAGGAAATGTGGGAAAAAGGTATTACCAATACAAAGCTACCAATGAAAGGTGTTAAATACAATTTGTACGTATCTACAACTGGACCTCTTAACGGCTTTCATTGGTAGAGTTGTCAATTCTTTCCTGTCGTCTCTGCAAGCCGGATTGAAGAGATTCAGCCTCGTACGGATAGCATCAGGAGCTGCTCGAAAGGGCAGACATGGTCTCAAACAAGCTGGCAACTGAGGGATCTGTGTCAGAGACACTTTGAGACACTTCAACCATGTTGAAATTTATGGCATCTGAGATGTCGGTCAAAGCTCGTAGCGATTTTAGATACAACTCGCTTATCTCGAAACGGCACAGCTGAGGATGGCCAAAGAAACCGTGCCTCCCGCAGAAGCACCGTTGGATCCTCACTGCCTGCTGGTTATGCCCCAAGTTGGCAATTTTTAATAGGGAAATTAGGCTAATCCATGGGATTTAGGTGTAGCCATGCCTAGCTCATTTTCAGACAAAGCGACTTAGTAACCCACAGTAGAGATAGAAATTGTTAGACTTGCAGTTTATTTTAGTCGGATTTTGTGTATGATGTTACTTTTCGATGTTTTTGGGGCTTGCCGAACCTCAAAATCAATATAGTTGTGGGTATAGCTGAATGTTCATCCCACCATTCATATTCACATTTTACATGGAAATTCAATGAACATCATAGGTTTGACACCGTGATTTTCGCGAATGTCCCAAGATGTTTGGACTTCGAATAGAACCTAAACACCAGCTTTCAAATTAGAAAAATGAGGATCGTGCAATCGAAATGGGGATCATGATATTTAACTTCAACAGAAAAAATGATTTCGAAAACCAAAACATGTGTTCTCAGGACACAATAATTGATCTTTCGCCAGCAAGTCAGAGTTTTTATTGAGCGAACCTGCTCCATAGCTGCCCTTGTCCAAGGCCTAACGCGAAACCTGCTCGCTCTGTGGATTGAGGCAAGGACGGTCCTGGGTATAGCTTTAGTCCTGTAGCTGGATCGTTTCTACCAAACTTATACTAATTGCTAGATATATTTTATAATATTTGTATATAATATTAATATATATGATGCAGCCCTCCCAGGTCCCCCCCCCTCACCCCCCAATGGGTATGGGTATACAGGAGCTATGTTCCCCGCCCCCCCTGTGGGTGGGTGGGGGGGTGGTAATAGTAGTAGTAGTAGTAGTAGTAGTGGTAGTAGTGGTAGTAGTAGTAATAGTAGTAGGAGGAGGAGTAGTAAGTAGTAGTAGTAGTAGTAGTAGTAGTAGTAGTAGTAGCAGTAGCAGCAGCAGCAGCAGCAGCAGCAGTAGCAGTAGCAGTAGCAGTAGCAGCAGCAGCAGCAGGAGGAGTAGTAGTAGTAGTAGTAGTAGTAGTATATTGGTAGTAGTAGTATATTGGTAGTAGTAGTATTAGGAGTAGGAGTAGTAGTATTAGGAGTAGGAGTAGCAGTAGCAGTAGCAGTAGCAGAGTAGCAGTAGCAGTAGGAGTAGCAGTAGTAGTAGTAGTAGTAGCAGCAGTAGTAGTAGTAGGAGGAGGAGTAGGAGTAGGAGTAGTAGGAGTAGGAGTAGTAGTAGTAGTAGTAGTAGGAGTAGTAGGAGTAGTAGGAGTAGCGGGAGTAGCGGGAGTAGCGGGAGTAGTGGGAGTAGTGGGAGTAGTAGGAGTAGTAGGAGTAGTAGGAGTAGTAGGAGTAGGAGTAGGAGTAGGAGTAGGAGTAGTAGTAGTAGTAGTAGCAGTAGTAGTAGTAGTAGGAGTAGTAGTAGTAGTAGTAGTAGTTGTAGTAGTAGTAGTAGTAGTAGTTAGTTGTAGCTAGTCGTAGGAATGGGTATGGATATAAGGAGCTATGTTCCCCGCCCCCCCCTGTGGGTGGGTAGGGGGGTGGTTAGTAGTAGTTAGTAGTATGTAGTAGTGAGTAGTAGTTATAGTAGTAGGAATGGGTATGGATATACAGGAGCTATGTTCCCCGCCCCCCCTGTGGGTGGGTAGGGGGGTGGGGGTTAGTAGTAGTGAGTAGTAGTTAGTAGTAGGAATGGGTATGGATATACAGGAGCTATGTTCCCCGCCCCCCCTGTGGTGTGGTGGGGGTGTGGTACTGCGTATATATATATATATATGTACATATATATATACATGTCTATATGTGTATATTTGCTTATATGTAATATATGCTTATATATATATGTATATTAAATATATTTGTATATATATATGTATGTGTACATATTTATATATGTGAGTATATGTATATATGTGTGTCTATATATATATATATATGTATATCTATATATATGCGTATATTTAAATACGAATATGTGTATTTATATGTATGTATCTATAACATGCAAATAAATAAATATGTGTATATATATATATACAGGAAGTAGATACATAGCACATGTATATATGACTATGGGTAGCACGTAGGTACTTTGAGGGAGTATGTGTGCTACGTAGGTCGTCTAAAAGGTAGCATGTACCTAGTAAATGCGAGGCTGGAAGTCAGAATCGCTGCAAAAACCTAGCAAATACGAGGCTGGACCTCAGAAATGCTGCCGATAGCTTGCAAATAGAAGGGAAGGGGGGATTCCCCACCTGGGGACCCATCCCATTGGGGGGGGACCTCGCGGACGGAAGGCGGGATCATAGATATATATATATGATAATTATCATATGTATATATATATATATATTATATATTAGACTTATTAAACCATGAGGATTTTAGTAGTCCAATCATTTTGAGGCATAGGTATTTGCAGGTGTTTGCAACCAATTCCTCTTATTGGCTCCTCTCAGTGGACAGGATCGCTTGTGTGAGTGATCTCTGGCAATGGCCAGAGTGGCCCTGAGAATCTGCAGTTGAAGTCAGTGTTGACAAATAGTTCTGAGCTAATCTGAGCTTAAGGGACGTTACCCGATGCTACCCGATTCAAATACAATCTCCTGCTGTGTTTTTTGTGTACTGCAGTGCGCTATGCCGCTATACCGTACAGCTTTTGTGCCTCTGTCGTATGGCGCCGCGGCGCTGCTGCGCTGCTAGAGCAGGCGAGTGTGTTTTTTCTAAGGGCATTTGTGACCGCCGTGGACAGAGCTGACGTCGAAGCATAGATCCAGAGAGGAAAAAGTCAAGGCCACGTGTGACAAACCAAACTTTGGTGAGCAAAAACAACAATAAGAAAACCTGAAATCATCGAATAACTTTGATAGCACTGGATAAAACAAGTTGTATGGAATGAGAACAACCCGCAAGGCATCAACAGATGGCCGTTTGTTTTTGACCATGGCTCAAGCTCTTCAGAATAGGTGGATCATGGTGGATCGATGTAGCCATTCATAAAATAAGGGCTATAGAAACAAAAAAACAATCAGTCATGGCTGCAGATGGATGGCTGCCATCTTATGGCAAGCTTCCAACATCTTCTGGGGATCCAAATGCCCTAAAATTCCAAGCACACATGTGTTCTGGGACCCGAACATTGCAAAATTTATGACCTGATTCAATCATATGCTATCACTGTTTCTAATTATCACTGCTTCTTATTATCCTGCTATATATGAACATGATTGAACATGCATTTCCTGTCATATCCTCCTGTTTTCTAAAATATATTTATGCCTACATGATGTGTATCAGAGCCATCTGAGTTTCACCAAGCGATGGCCATGGCTGGACTTCCACAGGTGGACATGTCGTCAGGTGTGTTTGATGTCAGGTTTGTTTGATGTTGGTATGTTATTTGGTTGGTGGTTTGGAACATTTGGAATACTTTTCCATATATTGGGAATAATACTCCCATTTGACGAAGTCATATTTTTCAGAGGGGTAGGTATACCACCAACCAGTTATGGGATGTTGGGTTGCATCTAGAATAGCATCTAGAGTAGAATCCAAATCATGGAATTTTGGCACATTTTGGCACATTTTCCCAGGATGTTCATCCCCTGATTGCGATGTTGTACAGCTATCATGGTCAATTTTACAATGCGGGTTTTATTTTACTTTATTTTATGTTGTTTTATTTCATTTTTTTATTTAGTTAGTTAAATTATGTTTGTTTATGTTCTTTTAACTTTTGTGTAATATATATATATATACATGTGTGTGTGATAGTTTTTATGTATTATGTATGTGTTTCTATTGTACTGGGAAATGGGAAACAGAATCTCTGACCGAAAGTGGATAGTTCTTCACGCATTTCGACACGCAAAATTTGGTCGTTGCTACGCCCCATGTTTGATCCACCCATCTTTCCCTTACCCTCTGGTAAACATACAAAAAACTATTGAAAATGGCCATAGAAATAGTGGATTTACCCATTAAACATGTTGATTTTCCATAGTTATGTGAAAGTTTACCAGATGGTATAAAATTAAGGGTGAAATATCCCATCAAACCATATTATAAATTCCAACTGTTATCTATTGGGACACCCCTCACCTGACCAAGCGTATGGAGTTTTATATCCACCACCAATGATCCACGTATGTATATAGTTTATAGGCGTATGTTTGACTGGTGAATCTTCCGTGTTTGGACCAGCCCACATCATATTACTTTATTTTATTATATTGTTGGTTGTATCTCCATTACATCAATTACATCCCTTAAGCTAGTCCCTTTTGTTTATATTTGGTCATAGGCCCATTATATATCCCAGTCTATTTCCATGAAATCACCCATTAAGACAATTTAAATCCCCCATTGAATCACTAATATAATCATTGATAGTCCCTTATCAATTCCACAAAAAACATATACATACATACATACATACAGACATACAGACATACAGACATACAGACATACAGACATACAGACATACATACATACATACAGACATACAGACATACAGACATACAGACATACAGACATACAGACATACAGACATACAGACATACAGACATACAGACATACAGACATACATATATATGTATATACACGCACATATGTATATATATATATACACATATTATGTATATATATATATATTTATTTACAGATATATGTATGTATAGTCTTCATGAAGCCCCGTCAAAACTGGTGAAATCTCCCATTTCTATCTATAAAAACTGCCACAGACTTGGGATGCTCCACCTGCAGCACCATCAATGCAAGCGCCGCAAGCTTCGTGGGGACAGGCACAACTGGCGACAGGGAGCACTTTTTTGGTCCCAAAAATGGGAAAAATATAGAGGTCTCCATAAATGCGGGTACCAGAAAATGGATGGTTTATAATGAAAATCCATTTACAAATGGATTTATTGTGGGGTCCCCCCATTTGAGGAAAATTCCATATGGAGAAACTTGGGAAAGTAGGGTAAAATACAAGAGTTTATCAATATTTAGTCTTTCTATGTCTTTCTGGTGTCCTTTTTTAAATCAACAAATTCAACGATTGATGCGGATACCCAATTTTCTGCAATATTTTTTGCATGAGAGATTGGGCACCAATGGACGTTGTGGACCAAAAGAATCTATCACTTTGCTTAGATGCGACAAGGTATATAGTGTCTTTATAGTTAATTGTGATATTGATATGGACAGTATATTGATATGAATGATGATGCTGATGATGATGACATGAAACTGATGATGATTATCATGATTTTATGAGTTCATTTAACATATTTTAACATACTCTTCAAACATTTGCTTGTCAGTCACAGATAGGTTGACTCTTTTGTTTTTGTGATTATTGTTCAAACCTCTTCTATGTTTAATGGTTTCAACGGAGTCATCATCTCCAAGCCATGGTTCTCCGATCGGAGGTGCAAGCACCGTGACTTGGCATTTAGATCGTGGTGAGGGTGTGACAGTTGAATTACCGCAGCTGTTAAGTACGCAATGTTGAGGGTTTTAAGGGTTTGTAACATATTAATATATATAGATATATTCCCATCATATTTCAATCATTCTTGGTTCTATCACCGGTTATTTACGGTTATGTCCCAGTGTTTGACACTAGAATTCCGATTGTTGGTCAGATCGTCAGAAAATCATTAATCCACCATTTACAGACATGTCTTCTCATTAACACCTCCATTTAGAGACGATTTTCCCATACTTTCCCACAAATTTTCCTGGTGAAATTGGTAAATGGAACAGCCCAACTGCAGGCAACTTCCAGCACCGATCGCTCCAGTAGGACGACTGCAGGTCTACAGTGAAGACTGCGAGGCCGGGAGATTGGGGGTTCCAAAGGATTCCGAACCAAGGATCTGGGTAAATTATAACGACCTCACTGGTCTCCCTCACTGGAAATCATGGTTAGTAAGGGGAATCATCCCAAAATGGCCCAACTATTCAGGGTAGTGAAATATTATAATTTACCCAGAATGATACGTTTTGTTGGATGAATATCCATGAATCTCAGCTATTTGGATGTAAAATGATGTGAATTCCCATGGTTTTCAACATGATTTTCATCATGTGAAAACCAAAGTAACCGGGTGTTGATTCATCATAATAGAGGTTTTAACATAGACCCGGGCAAGCCGGCGGCGGAAGTTTCCCAAACATAAATGACCTATAGTTCAAAGACAACCTGTCCCGACCGTGTCCTTCCCTCGACACTCCACACCTCACACTGCACACTGCACTCTTCGCACTCCAAACTTCAAACTTCACACTCCACACTTCACACTCCACATTTCTCACTTCTCACTGCTTCCTTCACACTCCAAACCTCACACTTCATACTTCACACTTCACACTTCACACTGCACACTTCACACTTCACAGTCCACACTTCACACTTCACACTTCACACTTCACAGTCCACACTTCACACTTCACACTTCACAGTCCACACTTCTCACTTCGCACTTCACACTTCACACTTCACACTCCACATTTCACACTTCTCAATTCACACTTCTCACTTCTCACTGCTTCCTTCACACTCCAAACTTCACACTTCTCACTTCGCACTTCACACTCCACACTTCACAGTCCACACTTCACACTTCTCACTTCTCACTGCTTCCTTTCCACTCCAAACTTCACACTCCAAACTTCACACTTCACACTTCTCACTTCGCACTTCACACTCCACACTTCACTCACACTTCACACTTCACAGTCCACACTTC